CTCTTGCCCAATCCTGGGTGATGGGCTTATAAACTCCTGCCACGCGAATATCCGAAATGATGACAGGGTGACGGAGCATACTTGGTTAACAGCTGGACTCCGACATCATCATAATCTTCATCGTGTCAGGGTCCAGCTGTTAACCGAGATGATGGTGGTGACGGTGACGATCCCGTTTCCCCCTAAATTGCTCGGCGATTAAGGTGATTAATTTGGGTGGAATCGGTAATCTTTCTTTTTAAACTGCCATTTTACAGATCTGTTATTAAAAGAAGGGTGTTGGAATCCGAGTATTTAGAAAACCCATCGCAATTTCTTGGAATTTGGAAGCCAACTCTTTCGGGGACTTTCTTCCAAATAAATGGGTTTGGGGAAAAGCTCGCAGCCCCCTCCAGTTTCCCCGGTATTTTATTTACTAATCTTCGGATGAGGCTGAACCAGAGATGCGTAGGTTATGCACAATATTCCGTTGACCCTTATTTAATTTTCTTTCATGATCCATTTGAAATAAAACAACAAAAAAGATAAGATGTTGATTTTCTTTCCCTACGAACCCATTAAACAAAAGAAGACAAGCACCATTCGGAATTTCTTGGCTGACCTGACCAGGCATTCAGTTTTTAAATTACTTTTTTTTTTTTGGTGTTGAAAATCGCAGCCCTTTTCGAGGCGTGATCGTCAGAGAAAGGCGAAGGCTTTGACTTTGCTTCGGCCATTGGGCCTGAGCTGGCTCTTGGACTTCTAAAAGCAAGGTGCAACCCTCCCGCCGCGGAGCTCTTGCAGTCCAATCCCATTCGCATGAATTGATGCAAACCGCCCACCGTTCAGCTTTGTGAGGTGGAGTTTAATTGCAGGTAAGAGTCACCCGGATGGCTGCCTTCTGCCGCTTGAGTTCGGCCACCCAGGCGCTCAAGTGCTGCAGGATAAGGCGCTCGCTCCACAAGCCACTCCAACTCCCAGGCTTTCCAATCTCGAAAAATAGGCAGCTTTTCCTCGATATCAGAGGGCGGCTTATCTCTCCACGTATAGGATCTTGGTGTCGGTTCCGAATGACTAAAACCGGTCAGGCCTAAGCAACACCATTAAACTGGAAGGGAAGGGATTTAGAGTTCCCCCCACTGTTGGGAGACTGCATATCCTATGATCCTGAGGATTGGCCAGTTTGGCTGGGATTGATGCGAAAGGAACCCAATGCTATCCGGAGGCCTGTAACATATTCTGCGCAGAGGAAAAGGTAGCCTTTGAAAAGGCATCCTGATGGAACCGCTTCAGAGGATGAATTTATTTTTCCAAATGGTCTTCCTCGGCTTTTCCATTTCCCCATTTCTTAATTCACTGGAAGAGGGGGTGGGGAGAGAGATATAATTCGCAGCTGTAAAAGTCGTATTTTAAAATGTAACACCCACACGTTTCTCAACCTGGAGACCTCCAGGAGTTTTGGGCTTGCTATTCCTATAGTCCACCGGAAATTATAAGATTTCATCCTACTTGTAGCTGCTGAAGAACACCTGGGTGTAGAGCATATCATCTCCCTGTCACACATACTAGCCGAGTGGATACATTAAGCTAAACCACAGTTCAGCTAACAATGGTTTGTAAAATAAGCAACAATTCGCCAACGGGCTAAGGAATAAATCAGTTTACAAGCCGTAGTTGGCTACGAAAACCCCTCGCTACGAAAGCACATTTCGACGGGGTGTGTGAACACAGCCCTTAGCACCAAGTGCAAATCTGTGAAATATTTCTAAAAACAATGGTTAGAGGGTGATCGACAATAGCTAGTGTTTCTGAGCATTCCCAGAGTGTAATTTTACCCGACGGCACCCCGTCCTAGGGCCTGAATAAATCAAATGGTCTGTATCTGTATTAAGACTTTTTTTTAAAAATGAGGTTCTTTTCAAAAGAATGCATTTCAAAAACCTCATGTTTTTCAACGAAGTAAACGCTCAGAAGATTTGAAGTTTGCATTTTTCTTCATTGCCCGATTACCCCACAGGCAGAGATTAAAAAAACCAAGGATCCCATTTCTAAACCAGGCTTCCTTCCCCGCCTCTTCCTAGGCGTGTTTACTCGAAAGTAAAGCTCAGCTAGTTAAGGGAGCTCAAGAAGGGTCCAGCCAGCCTTTACCGCCATGAAATTGGAAAAAAAAACCCACATAAGTCAAAGATCACCTTGGGGAGAAAAATCAGCCCCTCATTGCCCCGTTCCTCGCCTTCTTGTTTCCCAACCCCAGGTGAATGCAAAGAAACTTCGAGGTGGTCGGCCTCCTTAAATCTCCGAAAGTAGAAGTGCCTGTTCGGGTTTTAATTTCGAAACAAAACCACAGGTAATCGTCGCTGGCAGTCACTGAGATTCAGCCAGGGGAGATCAAATAGCTGTTTACCGCGGCCGCTCCGCTTAGTAATTTCTGCTGCCGCTCAGTCAAGACGGACGGGAGGGTGGGGTGTGGGGGATTATTCACCGTAAAGCGGACAAGGCAGGTTTTCTGGTTAGGCCAACTTACACAGCAATATTTGGAGATGAAGAGTGCTGTTAGACCGGAAAGCCTGCTTCATTAGAACTCGAGGAATTTTTTAAAAAAACTACGGAGGTATTTAATGCACACTTCACCTTTATTTTCCGTTCAAGCAAAACACACTTCCCTTTTACATAGGCCATGCACATATTTCAGATGCAGGTTTTTGCGGGTATCTGTACAATATTTAGGATTGCGGGGGAACGGGGGGGGGGAATTCAAGGCTGAAAATGCCCACCTAAACACTCTGAATTCTGAGTTTGCCAGACTTTTCACTTTCTTCTTTTTATCCCATTTGCTCTCGGATATGTCCGTCAACTGGTCGTCTGCATTTATCCCTCCGCAAATTGCGGAGCATTTCTCCGGGTGGATCGAATGCTGTTAACCTGGCGATCAGGACGGAAATGATACCGTTTGGCATGGGTGTGGCATGGCCTGCTTTGGGAAGCCCCAAAGAATCTTCTGCAGCCCCTGAAGAGATGCCGCAACACTTTAGCAGATATCTTAGCAGGTGTCTTCCGAGAGGCAAAAGCCAAAGCTTGAGCTCGTCAGGCGAAAAGTTGGGTTCATAGAAGACGCTAAACATAATTAGCTTAGTTTGTGTTTAGTGGTGTGGAGCGAACCGGCCCGAAATGCGACCCTCAACTAGTCCGGTACCTAGATAAATAAGGACAATGTTAAATCCTCTTCGCCAAAAGCTCCTTTAAGAAAAACGCGAAGTGGCAGCTGCTACTATACTAGCCTTTGAAGCATTCGGGGGACGTAATTTTGCTTCTGTTGAAGCCGGTCCGATATGATCAAAGGTGTAAAGGTAGGGCCACACATTCGTATCCCTCCAGCGATATAAAGTATGTATTAATGGCAGACATGGTGGCACAGCGATGGTTGGATGACACCATAAATCATGTCAGAGCAATGGCACAGGGACCGAAACGCTCGCTTACTAGTGTCTGCATTTGTAAGTTTACCGAGGCTTGTGCTCGAGTTACTTTTTAACGCAATCTTACTTGGTTTATCCATGTTGTATCGAGTTGGTAATCAAATGGTGAACTTTGGAATCAGGCTAAATAAGACCACCACATCCGAGATGCAAAAATGAGGACGAGATGGCCAAAAAAACTAGCTCTCCTATTGTCATTTAGGTGGCTGCGTGGATAATCACAGCATAACCCAGGCAAGTTAACCTTAGAGTAGCTTTCAATGCCAAATGTTGGAAGGCTCACCCATTCAACCAAATCCTCATGCCGTGGTAATCTGAAGACGAAATTCAAACCCCTGTTTAATTCCCACTAAATCAGCAGTGTGATTTAGCTGTATCCTGACCCCTTTTAAAATGTGCATCTCACGGAGGAACTGATTTCTTTTTTTTAAAAAAGGTTATAATTTACATTTCTTAGGTTTTAGGTATTAATAGGTTCGTTGGAATCTGTTTCTTCAACCTCTCTAGGTCTCCGCAGATACAAATCCTATTAATCCTTGCCTAGGCTTGTTGTAATTCGCTTACAAATTATTCTCATCCCACCCCTGGCAGGGGACAACTCTAGCTGACAGAAGACCTACGGAATCTGGGCTCCTGCCCACTAGCTCCGAATGGAGATGGGCAGAAGAATGGGCTCCGTCCAGCCTTGCAAGCGCTGGACGAAACCCGTCAAATCTCACATTTGATTACACAGAAGTTCAGTTTAGGATGTCCATGTATGTGCGTTAAGTCTTAATTTAGATCAATAAATGCACGCCCTTGGGATGCTATCGGCGTTCTTCCTGCTACACGCACATTTTTCTTGGAGTAACGTTGGTACCAGCGTCCCAAGAAGCTGAAGCGAAGATGTTCCTCCTCCTCAACCCTCCCGCGTTTGGTGTATTTAACGGGAAACTGCTTTCAGGACAGGTAAAGGCTAAAGAGAAACCAGACAGGCGCCTAAGGACCGTGGCCACGCCCACGGGGAGGTCGCTCTACTACCCGCACCCCTCGGTAGCGGCTCCTTGGGTGGCAATGCGCGACCCTCTGCAAACCAAGTTGGATTAAAATTTCAGAGAATGCCACGAATAAACGCACACCTCGTTTCAACGCGAAAGCCCTATCCCACCTGCGACGCGTGGCAGCTCTTCGTGAGTTGCATTCCGTCTAAGCACAGAGGCGCTGGGTTTTTCCAGCCCAAAGCAAGGCTGAACGTCGGGCACAAGGCGGGCAGGAGCTCGCCCGTGAGGGAAATGGCTCCCGGGCATAAGAAACTGAAGCCCAGCCGACATGCGGGAAAGCAAAAACTTTCAGTTTTCCTTGCGCTCCTAGTTACTGTTTAACATCCCCACCCACGTCTCAGTTTGTTTAGTAAATCGATCTGAAAGCAACTGCCGGGGCTCCGGCGCCGGCCCCGTCGCCATTACGCTAGGTTCCTATTTTGTTTCTCTCTTCCCCCGCCGGGGCAGATTGCGCTCGGTGGCCGGCGAGCGAAAGTCAAGGCCCGCCGGGGAAACTGAGGGGGAGGAAGCGCGGATATGTTCCCCAGGCGGCTCTAAGCTGACTCGCAGTTGCTTCCCCCGCCAGGTAAGTTTTTATTTCCGCCGGCGCCTCTAGAAAGACGAGAGCAGAGCTCGGCCGACCGTGCGCCGGCGCTTTTGCCTTGCCCGGAACTACGAGGCCTTTCTGGTCCAGCTGGGAGCCGGCGGAGCTCCAGTGCCTCTCGCCGCCGGGCTGCTACCATGACAAGGCGAGAAAGAAGCGAGAGCGACGGCTTCGCAGTCGAGAGGTCACGCCGCCGCCTTGCCTACTCAGGGCCTCCCGCCCCTTGAAACGGCGGGACTGCAGCCTCCTATTGGGGAACGAAGGCAGCCAGCTCTTGCTTCCCTTTCTGGCTGGAAGGGGCTGGATCCGCTTGTCTCTCTCCGAAAATGTGAATTCCAAGATTTTCTAGCCCTGGTTACCTGCCCTTTTATACTGAAAGAAGTTTTAATTCACTTTGGAGTTGGATTTAAAACAAGTTCTGGGAGAGCTCTCCCCTTCCCGATAACTGGAGCCCTTTCTTTTATCCCACTTCCGGTGGGATGGGTTTCAGAGTAGATTGTTAAGGACAAGTTGCCCCACCATCCTGCTTCCTTAAAAAACCAACCAAATTTGGATAGCTTCCTCAAAAGTGCAGAGATTTCTGGTTATTCCCAGGGCGTTTCCCCAAACCACTATAAATTCCACTGCGGTTAGGAAGTGCTTGCCTCCACCTGAGAGCTAACAGAAAGAAAATGTTAGGAAATATTAGTGCCTCTGTTATCCATTGTCCTGACCCTACTTTGGACTTTGTCTCCAGAGTTCGGCTCCATTGTTGTTTATCTATTTCATTTCCTAAATTGACCAAATGCTGTTTGGCTATAATAACAGGTGGTGGTATAATCTAGCATATTCCTTGCACTCATTTTAAGAATTAAGTTTTGCAGCCCCATATTTAGGGCAAAGAGGTCTAAATAAAATAAAGATACTGACAATTGAACAAGAAAAGAGTGAGAGACCATTACATTTGGTGAATCTAAAACTATCCAATATAAAACTCCCTTTTTATAAAAGATTATTTTGTTATGCAGATCTTTCAGTGTTTGATTAATTCTGCTAAGTTACTTCATATACATGACAGTACATTTACATGAAACTTCCTTGTTGTCTGATTATGGTTTTAAAAAGCAACTGAATGAAATAGTCATATTTAAAATGATAACTCTAAAGATATTGTCTTCCACCATACAGTTAATGCCTGAACCCAAAGTGGCTGATTATTCAAATCAGTATATTTCATTACCTCCCACTCTTGGTTACATTTTTTCCCCAAGATAGTAAAAGCAAAACTGATTATTTTTCTCTTTCTTGTTTTGTCTTCATGACAATTCTATAAGTTATTAAAAAAAAAGTCAATTGGCTCCAAGTCTTATCAACTGCCTTTTAAGATAATGTATAACTAGAATACTATGTGCTAGTATTCTAGTTATACATTATCTACAGTGTAACTCTTTAAAGGACTTCTAGAGGTTTGTCCCAGGATACCTAAGGGATGCTAGTGGAGAATACTGATGTAGAATATGAATTATTTAAATGAGATGAATGAAAGAGATGATAAAAAGGCCCTGCAGATGCCATTGTCCATCAATTACCTTTCACTATTGAGTCCTCTTCTTTCAGCCTGGTATTTCCCTTTATTTTAATTCTACCTTCATCTGGGGTCTTTGGGATCTTAGAGGGTTATTTCTCTGCTTATTTCTTGTCACAACAGTTTTATAGCGTAAAGTACTAGGTGAGTTTTAAAGGTAAGCCTCCTAGTCTAGATGAGGAATGAGCAATGAGCAGGTCCTACCTTGTTGATATTGTTGACCTCAGTTCCATTGTCCTAATTCCCATGGACAGTGGAGGCATCTGTGCAGTACCATCTGTGCAGTACCACAGAATCCGGCTCAAATCCTGTGATTCCTAAGCCATCTGGGTCTTTCTTTTTATCATAATCATTGAAAATTCAAAAGTATAGTTTCAAGATAGGAAATAGGTAAACTATGGCTAGATATGTATAAAACATTTTTTTTAAAAAAAACTCCCAAACTCTTCAAATTCAGCACAGTCCTCATGCATTATGTGTACCATTCCTGCTGTATTAAGTGGTTATTATCCACTTGAAGATTGGTGACCTAGTCTAAATCATCACGGGCCTCTACAGTACACCCTGTTTTTGCACTCTTTCCACACACTGATACAGACACACCCAAACTGGTGATATTATCTTTCTGGACTGAATGACAACTTGTCCAGCTCTCTGGAAGAAACATCAGTGGTCAGCTTGCTTATGTAGCTATTTCTGTCTCTACGGTAGATCTACACAAAATAATGCCCATGGATCACATGTTGCCTTGTGCTGCTGGCACTTTTTGAAAAATAGTCTGTGGCCAGACACTCCCAAGAACACTCCCAAGAAAGACCTGCTGCTTCACAGCCATATCTGCCTGTAAGAAACATTGCCAAGCACCCCCAGTGGTATCAGGCTCATGGACACTGCCAGTTTCATTGCTGTCTTGGAGACACTGGCTATCAGTTAGTTGATTGGCATGCTATTTTCTTGTGGCCTACCATTATTGTAAAGATATAAATCTGACTCTTTCTCTAAGTTGCGCAAGCTACTTAGAGCCTAAAGCTACCACAGTACTATTAGTAAGTATTGCAATGAGAAAAGTGATACTGTCTTTTCTAAAACTGACAAATCAACTTCCACCAAGAAAGAGTCTGGATCTCATGTGGTATATTGGCTACTCTCTATAGGTACAGTGTTCAGTATAATAAGCATGTATAGAAAATTCCTGAAAGTGAAAGAATAAGTCAATTGAAAAAAGAGGAACTCTAAACAAACTTTTGGAGAAATAGTTATTACTGTATTAATGGAATTTAACTTTGAATTAAATATGTTTGGAATTTAGAACTGATGACATGACAAAATAATAATTCCTTGTTCTCCAGTATTAGATGTCTTTTATTCATTTAGTTACCTATTTCTGAGGAAGTTGGAGTTCTAAGCTCCTTGTAGATAAAACACATACTTGTATATGATTGCTCAGAAGTAAGTCCTACTGGGTTTAGTTTGGTTTGTTCCTCAAGGAGATGATTTTGCATTTCATGTAACACCAACAGACACAAAAGTAGACTATACACTATGAAATATTCAGGTAAAATGTCAGTTGTGGGAAGGCTGTTTTGAATGTTTTATTGATCATCCCATTCTCTTTTTCTCTTCTTCCTCTTGTTGCTTTTTGAAAACGTGTTTAAAGGGAGTTAAGATGGAAAAACACTTAAAATGTTCTTTTGTAACCGACTCCATGCTTCCCATAATTCCTCTGTCACTCTGTAGCTTTGAGAAAGGGAAAAAAACAGTTTAGATGCTGTTTTCATTGCGTGCTACTTGCTTCCCTGTCTCTTTCTTCCTGTCTCACAGATGCACAACAGCTCTGCCTGAGGCACACCTCATACACATTAAAAAAATCAAGCATAGGACAAGATCCCAATGCACCTACTTTTTTCAGAACATTGTCTTTCATTTTTGTGGCTTATGCAATTGGAAAACAGAACCATTTTTCTCTTTCCTCCAATGTTCATCAGACTTGATTAGGGATAGCAAAGTAGAAATTGTCTTTCCTCATTTAACACTGAGTAAAGTGGAAGATCTGGTCTGCTTTCAAATTAACAGAAAGGTTGTATTTTCCACTGTGGGGTGAAATCCCAAGTGATATGTAGAGGGAAAGAAGCTATTGCCCAGTGTTAGCTGTTATTGTTGTCCTTCAACATGGGTTCTCAACTTCAGCAACTTTAAGATATGTAGACTTCAATGCCCAGAATTCCCCAGGCAGCATTCTGGAAGCTGAAGTTTATGTATCTTAAAAGCTGCAGAAGTTGAGAGACACTATGTTGGACTATAACTTCTTGTCTTTTCAGTTTGCAGGGGATGATGGAAGTTTTAATCCCATGTGTTTTGTTGATGCCAGTTTGCTGAAAGTGTTAATACTTTACACTACTATCAAACCTCAAAATAGCAGAAACCACGCCTTCAGTTTTTAGTAGCATGATCAGAGGCCATAAACTCTGAGGGTTCCAGAAGAGACTTGGAGGGCATAGTGTTCCCATTTTGGCAATCGGCCAGTGTGATGTGACGCCATAAGGTGTAGAAATTAAAGCCATTTAGCTAATTCAATAAATTATGGTTCAGTTACTAGAAGATACTGTGTTGCATAAAAAACACAGCTATTATGAAAGTAGTCTCATTATTACATCTCATCCCAAATTTTGGAATATTTTATTTATAAAGTTTCTACTTACTTTGTTATACTATTCACTAACATTAGTAGGAGTAGCACTCTGGAATGGATGGTAGTACTGAATTTCTTCTGGATTTTTCAAGTATATTTAAACCATTATCCTGTTTTTGTTTTGTCGTACGGATTACCTTCAGTGTTTTGCCTATAGAAATAAGTTCAGTTGCATTGAGAGGGATTTATTTCCATGTAGTAAGGCGGCATTTGATTGAAGAGTCTAACAGTACAATGTTGGGAAACAGGCAAATTCCAGAGAATTTAATGAGATTTATTACCAAGTGGGTATAGCAGAGATTCAACAAGTTTTAGTGCATGGAGGGGAACAAAATTACGGTGCACAACATGCAAGAGTAAAATACAGGCAGACAACTTGTGATTTTTGGAGCATCTAGTTTTGGGAGTTAGCCTTTATTTTTAAACTATATTAAGCCTTTTTTAGACTTAGGCTACAGTTTCCTAGTTCAGTACAATGAAAAAATGTTTTAAATGGAGCTTTAGTGCCACAAAAAAGATGTTTTTTACATTGGAGTATAGTATGGATGTTTTAACTATGAATTTAAGCAGTTCACATTTTGCTTCTTCACTGAGGTCCCCAGGTGGATTTAGGCAAACCATTATCTTGAAGCCTCTGTTCTCCATTGTTTAGTATGGAACATGACAATGGTTTATTTCACAGGGCTGCATTAGATTTAGAAGTGTGCTGAATTCTTGAAAGGCAGTAAT